CAACAGTGAATTTATGAAGATTTAAGAACTACCAATCTGACTAAGATTGCCCTTTCTTATGAAGAAGATGCAGTTTAGTTTCTAGATGTGCATAACTGGTAAAGACATATCTAGAAAGATTTGCAACTTTGCTTTTGGCAAAAGTTGTCTTTTTTAAAGGGAGGCCTGCATACAGAGGCACATCACACTTGTGAGATTTGTGTTGATATAAAAACTGAAAACCCTTACAGTTGTGAAATACTTTGTGTTGGTCTATCACAGAAAAGCCCTACAAAATACAGTTTGTGGTGAAAGAAAGACAGCAAGTGTGTAAAAAATGCAGAGTGGATAACTTTGAAGACTGCAAAATTGAAAAGTATTGAAAAGCAATCAAAGAAACTATAATGACTTCTGTTATATTTTTTTAGATAATCAAAGTTGATCAGACCTCATGTTTCTCTTGAAACCAAAGAAAAGAAACATGCCTTGAGTTGCTGTGTATGAAGTAAAATTTCTAATTTCTAATAAAATTTGTTTCCTTTTATTTTCTTATTTCCAATATCCTGGTGGTCTGTGAGGACAATAAGTCAGTTGTTTGAAAAAGAAAATAGCCGCACATTTGCTCACTCTATGACAGAGGATTTATTACCAACATTTGTGTAGAAGGTTGAATGAGCTGGACCTGTCCATATGTGGCCCTTTTGTAAGAGCGCGCCTGTGTGCCAGAGTGTCTTTCCAATGACACCGGGTGATGATTTTTAACAGCTGAGATGAGTTTGTGTGGAAGTGGACAACGGGGCAGCTGTACATCTCTGCCTTGGACATATACACCCACATTCACACGAACACCAAGGCTTATAAACAACAGTGGAATCCCGAGGTCCAACCCTCCTGGGACCAAGCCACACTAAGGCCTTAATAAAGGACTTGTTGTTTCAGGAGGCTGCTTATATCATTTTGGGTTCATGTTGCAACCTAAACATCTTTCAAGACTGGCTCTAAAACCTCAAATGCTTTCTGAAACATCCAAATTATCTCTGATTGTAAAAGTTTAAGCATTTTATGAAAAGTTATAAGGACCACTGATGCTTTTTTTTATTGCACTCAGGTATGTCTAGCAGACTATATACTATTAAAGGTGCTGTTGCAATTTGAATAGTGTGCTAAATAAAACCAAGTTGCTGTTACTACCTCAACTGGCCTGCAACATCTCAGCCAATGAGAGACACTGGGGTGGAGCAGCACCAAAGGGTCACAAGGAATGATGTAATCTGTGTTTATTTTCAGCATACACAAGTAAATGTATACAACTCCTCAAGATCTCGTTCACAGATTCGCTCTATGAGTGACAGATTCAGTTTTTGCTTGCAAAGATTTACATATTTCATTTTGGATCTCTACCTTATCGGTTGTCTTTTTGACTTGTTTGGTAAGACAAATATCTATGAAATCACTCCCATTTCCGTGTGTCTTAAGGCTGGCATTATAAACGAAGAAGCAGTGTTTATCACGAGGGAAGACAAGTGAGAGGCAGAGACAGAAAGAGAGACGGAGACACAGAAATTTAGTCATGGCAGTTAATACTAATAGTGGCCTCCCTTCCATTCCGTCAGCTGCAGCTGTTGATCACGCTGGTGTAACTGTGAGCTTTCTAGCATTGCATCACTCTCTTTCTCCAACCACTACTTTGCCATCCAGCATTACTATGCAGGAAACTTTTCTAATGGCTATGAACAGAAGCAAGAACAAAAAGGCTTATTATTATCAAATAAAAATCTGCATTTGTATATTTACTCATCAGCTCATATAAACTGAGATAGGAATGCACCTCAATGAATTTGAATCTGCCTCAGTGATTGGATTGTTGGAGTGATTTGAGGAGATAAAATATATTGCGAAAAGTAAATAAATAATCCAATCATTTCCATGGCCACAGGTGTGTAAAATGCAACAACTAAGCATGCAGGCTGTCTCTGTAAACATTGGTGAAAGAAATGGTCACTCTGTCTGGGAAACCAATGATTCTGGGTTTGCCAGTTGCCAGAACAATGACACTTATCTGAATGATGTCAAGTGTAAGGTCTGGTGAAAAGGGGATCATGTTGTGGGGATGTTTTTCAGTGTCGGGATCAGCTCTTCAGTTCCGTTAAAAGGAACTCTTAATACTTCAGCATACCAAGGATTATGGACAATTTCATGCTCCAAGCTTAGGAGGAAGTAGTTTGGGAATGGCCCGGTTGTTTGGAAATTACTGTGCACCCATGCACGAAGCAAATGTGAAAGAACTTAACTCTCCTGCACAGAGTCCTGACTAAACCATAAAAACTCATTTGTGATGAATTAGAGCAAGGACTGTGAGCCCTCTCGTCCAACATCAGTGTTTGACCTCACTGGAAGAACCCCCAAAATGATCCAAATTAAATGCAACTTTGAGGAAACGCATTTCCAGAAGTGTTGAAGCTGTTCTTGTTGCTATGTAGCAGATAAAAGATCCATTCACCAATAGAGTTTAAGAGCATGTTTAATCCATCAGCATGTTAATAACCTGGCCTCAGTTATGCACAGCAAGTTGTTGGTCATGTTCTCCATCTAGAGAACGCAGCAGAGGGACGATGTAACTTCCCAAGGAGCTCGTCCACTAGCATACATCAGAGACATTCCACCTCATCTGACACTCGTCCATGGAATTCTGCAAATTTTCCACACTATTCTCATAGGCATTCTGAAGTGCCTGTCAAAAAGACTGGCATGCCCAGACCTCAAGGACAAGAAGCACGTAACAATTTAAGAAAGCATATTTTTACTTTGTTGAAGTGTTATTTTTTTTTTACATTTTTTTAAAAGTCTGGAAACACATTGAATTGTCGGTTTCTGCTCTCTTGGTGCTTCTGGTGGTCTGTTTGTTTGTGTATGTGTGTGAAAATATATTTTGTTTGCACTGCTGATAGGTGATAATTTGTCATAGATTTGTGCAGAGTCCCTTTCTCGTCCATGTCGGTATGGCCAGTGTATGCAACCTATAGTTGACACCTATGTGTCATTCTGGGAGCACACTAAATACTTCAGATGACTTGAGGGTTTACTTGGCAACCAATGGCTGTTTTAAGAGCATGGATACACTTTCAGTTTGGACCAAGCACAAGGTCTGCAAGTATCCAAAGTGCACACAGAGGAATAGAAAAGTCACAGAACCACATGTATCATGTGCTCATTGTTGTTTGTTTGCTTTATCTAAGTGACTTCATCCAGATCTATTTATGTAACATGACATAGTCGTTAACAGCCGTTTGTATGAGAAATGAGATATTGCAGAACCACAAGTTGTTTCCATGTTTCAAAGCTCTGTAAATTATATTCACATTAAAAGAAAATTTATTTCAGTATTTCAATTCAAAAGATGATACTCTTACAGCTTAATTACACACAGAGGTGTAAATGTCAGCAATGAATTTCTGTTAATCTTGACAATAATGACTTACAGCTAATGAAAACCAAGAGAATTAATACAGAAACCTTATTGTCATGCAGGTTTCAAACGATTCTCTCTACAAGGAAGAGAAGCCAGGAAAGGTCTCTGCAGATGTGGACAATATTGGAAAGTAGAGTAGGAGAAAACATAAAGTGCATAAGTAAATGGACAACCTGGCCCTTGAGGGAATTGTGAGGCATAATCTATTTAAAAGCTTGCAGGAGATTCAGAAGTCTGCAACTCAAAGGTGAAACTTCAAGAACGCAGAAGAACATACTACTAGTCTACAACCGTCATTCCTTTTTCTCAGTCACTCCTGAAACAGATGCAACAAAATGAGTTGAGCTTAAGAGAATGAGGAACTGACTGTTGTCTCAGTGGTCCAAAGTTTTATTTTTAGAGGATGGTAAATTTAGTAATGATAATCAATTTTATTCATAATGTGCATCACATTCACACGCTGATGATGGCAAGCTACTGGACTGTAGCACACAGCTAAATGCATGGATGACTGTACACAGCTGACACAGAGTCAGCACACAGCTCTAGATCTTACAGTTAGAAACTATACAGGTCAGTCTTGAAATCTGGCTGATGGACCTGGACCTTCAAAGACACAGAAAGACAGCAACAAAGTCAGTCTTCTATCACCTGAAGAATGTTTCCAGGATTAAACAAGATTTTAAATAACTCATCCATGCATTTATCTATTTTTGCGTTGATTACTGCAACAAAGTCTTCACAAGTCTGCCTAAAAACTCAGACAGCTGCAGCTGATCCAGAACGCTGCTGCTTACGTTCTCACTAAACCCAGGAAGACAGAGCAGATCAGCACAATTTTAAAGTCCTTACAGTACAGCTAATACTTCTTGTTAATAAATACCTAAATGACTTAGTAACAAAACACATGTTTTTTATTGACATTCCATACCATGACTTCTGGTTCTGGTCCGCTCTGTATCCCCAGAAGCAGAACCAAACATGGAGAAGCAGCATTCAATTTTTAGGCTCTTCTAATCTGGAACAAACTTCAAGAAAACCGCGAAAATCCTGAAATAGTACCGTCAAATGCAAACTAAAAACACATCTTAGTTGACTTTGACTGTCCAACGTTTTACTTTCCTTTTATTACATGACTGTATAATAAGTTTTTATGTTTTCATCATGTGAAGCACTTTGTATTCAAAGGTTGAATTGTCTTATTGTTGAAAAGTGCTGTACAAATAAACCTGGTTATACTTTTCAATAGATTCAGATTTCAGTTTTTTTCAATCCCTTTTTATTAGTCTTATACAATTAATGAATGTATGTGACTATCACCTATTTAGTGAATTGAATGAATTACTTCAACTTTTTAATGGAGGAAAAGTGGAGTCCACCTTTATGTCCATACTCTAAACGATTTATGCTAAATCATCCATTATTAGTTTTCTTATTGTGGATGTAACCGCGCTGCCGGGGATAATAAAGTGGAGCTGCAGGGTAGGAGTGGAAGGAGATGGTGGAAGGAGGGGTCGACACTGCGATGCACAGGACAGGACACCCTCATGCTTGCTTCATAAACCTCTCCACATTTTGCAACCGCGGCTGTTGAGGAGCGCGCTGGAAGCGGAGGGAGTGCGCTCCTTCTGGAGTGATTATGTCAAATCTGGAACGGGCTTTGCTTCACGCTGCATAACCCCAACTGAGCTCTCCCCACTTCCACAAACAGGGATGTTGTCGCGCAGTCGGTTGCGAAGGTCGGTTCCAGCAGAACAGTGAGGAGACCGCTCGTTTACCATGAGCTGTTTGGATGTTATGTATCCAGCCTATGGACATTACGCACCGTACGCACCGACTGCTCCCGCTTTTATCAATAGCTTACAGGTAGGATGCGAGCAAATATTTAAAGTTCAGTTAAAACCCTCCGTCCCCCAAGTTTAACTGGAGTCACTGAGATGAATGTAGAATATTTTAAAATCGGATACATTATGCTGGTTGATGTGGCTTGTGCGTAAACGTGAATAGGCTTGGTTTTAGGCAAGACATTTAATACATTTACGACTGAAATCATTATTTTTTTAATCGAATAACTAATTTATCTTGTTCAAATCAGATGTTTCACGCACTTATATTAACGCGCATGGACATGCCAGCGCAGCAGCACAATGATAAGCATGTCAAAAAGCCTCATAATAATTTCCAGAAGTGTTTCTGCAGCACCTGTCTTAACCCTCGCCCTGTTCCCCCTCCCATGTCCCTCCTCCTGCCCGCTGATCTCCCCCTGACAGGCTCCTTCAGGTCTGAGCAGCTCTGCGCCCAACAGTCGGGATTTTATGGAACCTCCCAGCGTTCCAGAAGGGATGTCTGGGGGCCCAGGTACTGGAGGATCAACTTCCTCCTCATCTTCTTCCAGTTCTTCTTCCTCCTCCTCTTACACACCTGCGAGGACAGCGGAGGGCCCCAAGGAGAAGCAGGAGGGCCCAGAGGCAGAGTACCTGACTTCTCGCTGTGTGCTCTTCACTTACTACCATGGAGACATCAGCAGCGTGGTGGATGAGCACTTCTCCAGGGCTCTCAGCTCCTACATGGATGGAGAGGGCAAACGGCGGGCGCCAGAGCAACAGGGCACAGGTAGCTGCAGGTTTCGCATGACTAGTGGTTCTGCAGGCATATTAATGTTGTTAATATTTTGCAGTACTAATTGAAATAATTGTCTTCACAATTAAAGTCATGAGATATATCATTGTAAATGAGGCTAATATAGGCCAGGGTGACAAAATATTCTGCTAGCTTTTCAAAATAAAGTTTGGATAAATATCAATGTTGTTTGTTTGGGGAACAATTTAGTATTTGTGACTAACCAATCTATTATTATTATTATGGTTATTACTGTCATAATTATTAGATGTATAGACCTAAACTGATTTTCCAGCACAGACAGAGGATGCTGGACAACTGGCAAAACGTGACACCCGTACTGGTTGTAGAAATGTTTGTGCAATTTGATCTGAATTTATTCAACGTGACTCACCTAATGCCTGCAGAGAATATCCTGCTGGTATTTCTGACCCATGTTCAAATTAGTAAATACATGTGGTTCCCATAAATGAGTATTGTGATCTTGGTCCCATTTTGCAAACATTCAGTCTGAGTAAAACAAATGCATGCCAGCTGTGCTTTTGGGTGTATTTTATGAATTTTAAGAACTGGTGGAGCTGGTAGTTCTGCAGAGCCAGCAGAAAATGGGACTGGTGATGTTGTCAGGTGACAGGACTGAAGGGTAGTTGTGGTCTTGGAGAAGTCAGGGCAGAAGGTCACACAGGTCAACGGCTCTTTGGCTAAATAATATGGCTTCTGTGGTTCTGGCTGGGCTAAAAGTTTGAAGTAAGACAAAAAAAAAAAGGGTCCACGCAGCTGTTTGAGTAGCTTTATGTAATTTGTGTCATTACCAGTTTTAATTCATTGGGCCTCAAGAAATTAAAAGTATTTGTAAGAGTTTGTGTTGTAATTTTGATACTTAAAATCCATCTTACAATAAAATTACCGTATGCTTGCTTATCTGAACCCTGAGTAGGACACCTGAAATTGAAAATCGCCCTAAGCTCTGTGCCTCCAACAGGGTGTCCCTCAGCTCTCCATGTAGGGTCTGCCCCCTCACTCGCTGCCCCACTCTGCTCTTTTTTCTCGTTAGGCTGGACGTCTTCATTTCGGCACCAGCGAGCACTCCCTGCCTCACAACAGATGCTATGTTTATACCCGGCTGTAAGCGTACAGCCTCGCCGGCGTATCCCCTTCAAACATCTCCGCGGCAGCCATTCTGACTCTGATTCCAACTCATGCTCCACAATGGTTGCACAGTCAGCTGCCTGCCTGCTACTCGGATTTATATCTATTCTCAGCGCAGTAGCAACAATGAGAGACATGGTGGGTCTTCTTGAGGAATAGCTAAATATAAAGCTATATTTTTGAAAATATATAACAGCATATTGAATCTCTGTCAAGGGCGTGCAGAGAGCGGGAGGGGTTGCAAAAACAACAGGTGAAGGTGCAGGGCGCAGAAGAGAGGGGCAGCGGGTGCTAGCATGGGGTCAGAACTGCTTGTGTGTGTTTTTAGATTTTCAGGAGTACCGGGCTGACATGAAAGTGAGAAGTGTCACCACAGCCAGTGATTTAACACTCTTTGAGCCCTGGGCTGCCTCCAGGTTACAGCGTCTGCCTTATATAGCATTCTAGGATATAGGGACATCTCTCTTTCTAAATTGTGTCTCTCTTTAAGTGTATGGGAGCGTGGTTGTGTTTATTTCTGTGTCTTGTTGGACCTGGGTCGTGTGACCCTATGATCCAATGAGCAAGATATCCGACCCAGAGGGTGTCCAAGTCATGTGAGCAACATCTGTACTTCAGCACTCGTTGATCCATTCCCATTCATTTGCTTCTGTGATATAAGTGCACCAAGCAGTCAGTTATTCTGAACTTGGTCTTCACAGTTAGGGCAACACAATGTGCTTTATGTAAAACAAAAACAAAAGGGTGTGGTTCTAAAATCTAAAATCCTGATGTGAGTTCTGAAACTAAAAGCAAAATGAAAATAGGAAAGATAAATAAATACAAAAAATGTTTAAACTCAAATCTACATTTGAGTCAAACAACCGATATAAATGTTCATCAGCAATAAAACAAATTAAATAATTATTCTAGTGAACAAAATGATTTTAAATCAACATAATGTCCAGGCAAAATTAAACAGTACAAACCATATATTTACGTACACTGTATAAAAAGACATCAAGCTGTTTAAGCTTTTCCTGTTTTACGTCAAATAGGGTCACCAAAATGATTTGCTAAATGCCAGAATATTGAGTGAGTGAAGATTTTCAAAGACCGTGTTTTTTTTCAAAACCAGAAGTGTACATAAATTAAGATTACAATTCCTTTAGAGAATTTGGGAGCCCAGATTATGATGTCATGGCTTTGTTAGCTTCTGACAGGTTAATTTATGAAATTTGAACCAATTAGAGAAACATCTCCACAAGTCTGAATCACCCTTTGGTACGATTTCCAGATGCCTGAAGATGCCGAAGACATGACGATTCAGAAATGTAAGTGTTTCTCCATAATTAAGGGAAAAATGAGAACACTTGGACGCATCATGATGTTTGGCTGTATGAGGGAAAGTGTACTTCAAACAATAAATGGTGTCATAATGAGAGAAAATTACACAGAAATAAGCTAAATTCCCATTGACACAAAATATTTTGGACAGGAAAAAGTGTCCCAAAGCCTACAAGCATGAAGCAGCTACAACAGGTCTGTCAGGAGGAATATATTAAAAGTCCAGCAAACTATTGTGAGAAATAATGAAATGATACTGAAAGCATTTGACCCCAATCAGTGCATGTAAGTATTCGATTGTAAGTGTACTCTATGAAAAAGAGCAGTCATGCTGGTGGAGTTCTTACAGGATTTTTTTTTCACTAAATGTCCGGATAAAAACATTAAATAATACATTTAGAGCTTCAAAACTTAGAATCTAAATTAATTCATTGTTAAGATTGTTCAGTTTCACTGTGATTTTGTTTCTGAATGTCATTACAGTTATAAAATATCAGTTTTATTCTGAGTCATATAATTGTGCAAAAAGCAGCATTCAGCTTCTATGCATCTGAAATCTGGAACAAACTTCCAGAAAGGTGCAAAACAGATGAAACACTGAGTTCCTTTAAATCAAGACTAAAAACTCACCTGTTTGGAGTTGCTCTTAAACCGTCTTAAATGGAGCACTGACCAATATATTTGATTTTTATTGATTACTTTAACTTTGGCGCTTAGCAAAATGCAATGCCTGTTACTAGTTTGAACTGCCTTGTTGCTGAAATGTGTCATATAAAATTAACTTGATTGATTGTTTGATAGGACTCAAGCCTGATGGTGATCTCAGTTTTTCTCTCGTCTGTTAGAAACTTCTTCCTCTAACAGCCGGCGCAGCTTCCCCCCGTCTTTCTGGGACAGTAACTACACGTCACCTCAGAGTCGCCCCCACTGTGAGACCAGCGCCCCAGCTTATTCCATGGACCCGTACGCGTCGGCGCTGCATCCAGGCCTGTCACACGCGCATACTCATCCTCACCCACACGCCCACACTCATCCCCACCCCCACCCACCGGAGGGCTGGGGGTACCCTCAGGCCCAAGCCTACGGCCCCCCTCGACCGCTACATGAACTGTACTCACCGTCAGCTCTGGAGTCTCACTACGGGGGTCTGCTCGTGCCCACGGTGAGACCACCTCATCTTCCCACCTTGCCAAGCCACTATGAAGTGGGCAAGCTGGAGCCCACCACCTCCTGGCCGAGCCTGCTGCCCCCTGGAGACGTCAGCCAGACGCTGGCGCTCAACATGGATGCAGGTACCCACTCAGAAATGTCCTGAATCATACGAGTGTTTCTCTTTCGATTTGTCTTTGAAAGGAAAAAGAAATGTCTTTGCATAATGTTCATTCAAGAAGTTTTTGAGCTTTCAATATGCATTAACAACAAAATGCAGTAAAAACTGATCAAACAACTTGAAAACAAATGTCTATATGCAACATTAAACTCTAAAATTTACAAGCTTTTCCAATGCACATCATAAAGACACACACTGCTCTGAACCAATGAAAATGAATTTATTAATTTGCTGCCTTTTACACCAATCAATAAATTTGACACTAGCTTTGTTTTTAGATTTGTTTTTGTTTTTTCCGGAGGTTTCTCTTGTGGTACGAAGCCTATCCCTCCCACTGTCGCCACATGCAATTGAATCTGACTGTATTACATTACAACTAGGAATTAACTGAAATCCTTATAAATGATATTTAACCGTCTACATGGTGGGATTATTTTTAAATATGAGTTGGACATCTTCTAAAGTGTATTGTGATGATATCTGTTAAATATACGTGTTAAATATAAACAGATGCAAAAGCTTAAACATATTTGTGACGATCAAGATAAACAGTGAATTTATAAATAAACAATACAATAAATTAAACCAAATACCGGATTGAACTGAGTACTGAGAGTTTTCATAAATATTATGTTTCATCATAAACTCTCACTTTATGGCCTACAAGTCTTATGAATAGATTTGACCAAGATCATCAATAGTTTAAAAATCAATACTGTTTCAGGTTAACATCAATTCTGATTTGCAGAGACACACAGGGACGCATGCTCCAGGTTCCACCCCCAGCTGGCCCCCACAGCCCTCCTCCATGTGCAGACCTGCATACAGAAACATGCAACACATCATAATCATCACAGACGCTCTCTTTTCACCCGTCTGAACCAGCATGTTTGGCCATAGAAGGCTCCATGACAACCTGTGTTCTGCTGCTCACTGTTGTCCTTCTCATTGTTTCCATGTTTTTTTTTTTTATTTCCTCAGGCCTCCAGCAGCACAAGAAAGGCAAGGAGCTGTACTGGTTCTAACGAGCCCTTCAGTAACACTGACCTGCCATTACCAGACCCAATTAGTCCCTGGATCTGCTCTGCTTTTCAAGCATTGTGTCCTTTCACTCTCACCCCACACCCCACACATTCACGCACCACATCCCCATCCACCCCCTTCTTTCTGCCTTTAGCCTCCCCTGCCAGTACACGGCCTTGCTCCAGGTCGACGTGTGTGCACCATGGAGATAAAGAAGCGAGGGAACGAGGGAGAGAGGCCCAGCATCTGAACTGGCCACGGTGAGCACCATCGTTGCTCCCTCTCCTGCATCTCTCCTCCACTCTGAATCCAGTTGCTCTGGCAGGATGAGGGCCACGGTGACCTGTTTGGATTGGGAAGCAGGATCACAGCAGACATTTGCAGCTGGGGAAAAAAAAAAAAAAAAGACAGAGGAGTGCAGGGATGAATCACAGCATGAATGGATTTCTTCCAACCTTCCTGGTTATCTCCGTCTCATGCTCTGTGTTGCTACAGTCATTGTCATTATCCACTTATCTGCATTTCACAAATGCAATGTGCAGCAATATCCAAGAGCAGAATTCATGGAGGTTAGAGCTTTGTGACAGTCATCACAAGGCCTTTAAAAAAAACAAAAAAACAAACATTTCTTTTAAAATAAAGTGTTTTTATTTATCAGTGTTAATGTCTATTTTTAATATGATTGCTTGGCCAGTGTTCTGATATTCTTGTGGTTCAGTTGATGTTTTTAAAAGTGGACAGTTATAGATCAGCCAGTGCAATGTGGTTTTGGTGTAGTTTCTCAAGGATATTGTTTCAAATGCTGTCAGATCATATTTATCCATCAACTCTGAGAGAAGGTAGTTTTTTAATATGAATATGTTCCATTTTAGTTCAAAATTTCAGTTGTTTTTTTTCCTTTTATTGTGGTTTTGAATTTGGACTTCTTGAATATTTTTGGGTTTTTCTGTGTGTGAATTATTTCTCAATTTTGTGTCCGAGAAAATGTTATTGTCAATAAATATTTTTATGGTTAATTACCACATCTCCTGAATGATTACTGTAATCATCCTCGTGCAGAAGGCTTTAATTGTCCCTCATTTCCTTGTATTGTCCTTCAGAACTCACTTGTGTTTCACAACAGTATTTTTGCCAATAGTTTCTTTGAACACATACAAATACTTTTTTCCATTTAAAGCTTTGTTCAAATCCCTTTCTTTTTGCAGAACAGACTTTTATACCTGAAGAATTGCTTTGATTAACTTCTGCCCAGTGTGTAAGTCACACTGGGCAGAATGGATAGCTGAAGCAACATTGGGTCATTTTTATGGATTAAAATAAAGAAATGTGACCTTATCATGAGTAGAATCAACAAGTCACGAGCGCGTATAGATTTAGAATAAGTTCTTTGGAAATGTGTTTCATTGTGTGCACATAAACATTGTCCATGTTTTGTGTTTGTAAGTATTTTTGATAATTGAATAAGGTGACAAGTTATTGATTAAGACCATTAGAAAGTATTTAATTTAGCATAAGCAACAAATGCTAAATTAAAGATGTCAGATCAGCTTCTCAAACTCAGGGAATGCACAGATGTTTGTGTCCCTGAGACGGTAGCAGAGCCAGATGTGATCAAGGTTTTGCTTCCAGACTAATCTCATTTAAAAGGCCTTCCGTTTGAATTCCTGCTTGCATTCACACTTTGTCACCTATAAAGTGAGAACGAGTGCTGAATGCAAGCAATGTGCAACACGAGAAGAAGCCAGCTATCCCAGCAATGCTTCAAATGTTGCTTTGTTATTGATCCAATAATCAAATTACGCAGTATGCAAAGTAAAGCCTGAACCAAGCTACTGCTGAATTTTAGAGGCTGATACATTATGTTTGACTCGCAGTGTGAGAGCAGCCAACCGTGTGAATGACTAAGCTGAGGAGATATGCAGGGTAATGAAATTAGAAGAGTTTACAAGAGACTGCTTTCCCTCTTAGTTTCCAATTCCAAACACATCGTTGCTTTATTAGAGGGACGTTTCTTTCTGCTTTGGATCCTTCAAGAGGTCCAGCATGATGTGACAAATTTTGTTACATCATATTTCTGAGCCATCAATGAACCCACATAAAGTCAAGTTAACTACTTATAAAGGATAATTCAGCAAATTCTCCACTCCAGTTTGCTCATTGCTGCTCATTCCAGAGATTGATTCAGTCTAACAGATCTGAGAGAGGAAGCAGGAGGAGGCTGTTTGTATAAAATCATGTTAATATAAATTTAGAGTTTTTTCTAAACTGATCTATATTGTGTGGAAATACTGCCACCTTCTGGTGTTTTCACAATAAAGCAACAGTTTGATCAGTTGTAAGTTGTTGCAACTATTAGATATAAAATAATATTAAAATGAGTGTTGAGTTCTCAGCATTAAGGTGATTCATGTTGGTTTTATTAGCACAAAGTTAATATACACTTACTGCTCACTTTGTTATGAAGACGTGTTCAAAATGTTTGATCAAGACTAAATTGTAATGCAAAAACAGAAAATTTTAACAAGTGATTTTTGCCTATTTTTTTGTATAAATATCTTAGCACACTTGAAATAAGACAAAACAAACTTACAAGTACCTTTTCAACAAAATATTTGAGTTTGTTTTAAGTCATAAATTGCTTGGCAGATTAAAAATTATTTCTTCCATTGGCTGATTATTTTACTTACAACAAAACCCATGTTATAAGTGATCTAATCTGCCAATTGATCAAGTTTAAAGATTGATATAGATGAGAGTTTGTGTCCTGTTTAAGTGATGCCTTGAGCAATGCTGCCATCTCCTGGTGGTTTCTTAACACAGCAAGTTGGATTAAATTATACAGATTATGTCTTTTACCGTGTTGCCTGTTTCACTGTGAAATGATGTGCCATTTATATAGTAGTGTTAAGGTTTGACTTAACAGTATTTTGTCATAAACTAATTCAAATAGGTTTCCAGCGATAAATAAGAGATTTCAACAAATGGCTCCTTTGGGTCCTAATATCCTGCTCGATTGCCTGCAATCTGAGAACAGAGACAATAATTAAATGACTCATAAAACCAGTGACAATTACACATAAGCAGCAATGATTTAGATTATTATTAGGTTTTTACTACAGTCATCCAAAGAGGAAGTTAGCATTAATTCCCATCATTTTCTGACAATAACTTGCCAGTCAGTTTCAGTCACAGTTTGCATTCAGAAAATTTCTGAACTATAACACCTACAACAGAGCGGGTCATATGATCATTCAGTGGAGGAAGTCACATGATGTGACATGCATTTTCACTTTTAAAAACAACTAATTTCACAGAACTTTAAAATAAGGACGGCACATTTGTTTAAGAAACTTTAACGGTGGCAAGAAAAAAAAAGTGGTGAGAAATGTGTCTTCCTTGTTGCCATTTATTAATTTAGGAACAGATATGATGTGTCAGGCATGTGCTGGACAACATAAAAGGAAGGGGAAATTACGGGAAAGGAAATTCTTCTTTTGCTGTGCTGTGAGCCAGTTTCAGTTTTGCCTCCGCAGAACAAACTCAGTATTTCCCCTAAGCTTGTGTGGAGATGCCTTAAAACACATTCTCCAACCACTTCCAATTATATAAACCTTTGAACCATGAAACTGGACAGAATAAATGTGTTTTTTTTAATCTATCAGCTACTATGTTGACTCCTGACTTGCTTGTATAGTAAATGATTGGTAGAACTCCAGATCAGTCACAATCCACAGAGCTCCTCGTGACTCCAACTGTGCTTACACACATAAACACACTTACGATGCTTCTCATTCTATAGGTCATAGTTACTCAGCAGATTCCAGTTGGTTGAAAACAAATATCACTGAAGAACACAGCAGAGAATGTTATTTAAAGCAGAATTAAGTTCTGAAACAAAATCTCTCAGAGCTCTGGCTAATCCATAATCTGAACAGGAGAGGATTATGGCACAATTGCAAAAGTAATCTGAAAGTTCAGATTCAGGTAGCTGTGAAGAACCAGAGATAAAGGATCTGTTATCAGGACCAGTCTGAGTCTGAAACCTCCAGTTTGCTACAAGCCTTGTGGGTGAAGTCCTTTGATCAGATGAGAGCAGAATTATTTTTTTATTATGTGCGGTATGAAACTAACACTGCATATTATCATAAACTCACTGTCTCAAAGGGAAGCATGGTGGTGTCACCATCATGCTTCCCTTGCAGGTTTTCCTACACACAGGAGAAAAACCTGCAAGAGACAAACCTAAAAAAATCTGCAGCTGTAACCGCAGCCAAACGTTGCACAAAGCAAATAAATGCACATCACACTTTTTAGATTTTATTTGTAAGAGGATTAGGACTGCTAAAAAAAACTTTTTTTCTCAGATAGAATTTCTTTTAAAACCATCAAATCTTTTTGCCTTGATGTCACTTTTATCCCAATTAAAATATACTGAGGTTTGTGTTTTAAAAACTGTAGCAGCATGTATACCTTTGCAATGCACTGTAAAACACAATCTAAGGACTGATGACAGCGTCTAGAAGTCATATCCTCCAGGTTGCATTCTCCTTTCATTGTTGTATGTCATGTACACTAACAATTACAGAAATCACTGCAGATGAAGTTAAGTATTTTATATTTAAAACTAAATTACAGTGCAGAATCTTTTAGTCATATAAAGTCTTATCTCTGACAAGAAGCTGACATTCAGTGAAAATTCTGATGAGATCCGCAAAAAGCACGTCGAACTTTGCACTTCCTGCTCAAACCGAATCAATTTGGGATTTGTGATCATTTTCTTATGATCATCAACAACTGATAAGGCTGAAGAAAATCTATCACTGTACTTACATTTGATTTTATCACTTGGTTTAACAACCAGGTGATAAAAGGACATCAATAATTGGATGAAAGAAATAGTGAAACTGGTAAAATTAACCAAAAGAAGAATGAACAGATTTAACAACTTTTTGTTACTCAGGCCATTAAATGCGATACTTCTTCCGGATTTAATCACGATTATAGTTTACATTTTGAAAGTAAAGTATTAGCAGAGTCAAACAGTAACACTAAATTCTTCAAGAATTAGATAATTAGATAACAATCAATATAGATGTGTGTTTTAAAAAATTACTCTTCCAGTTTCAGTTTGACTGCATGAAACAGAAAAACACAAGATAGTTTTCAGGTCTCTTGTCTATTTGCATCCTGACTGCAAAGCAAGAAGTAAAATTAGACAGAGCTGCAACAAAGATAAAAATTATTCATCATCATCAAGTGTCATCTTGAGAGCCGAGCCTCAGAAACAATCATGAAGTAGAAACCAACACAGGAGATCACTAATCAGAGGTAGAGGCAGCATCCAGATGTCTCATTCTGAGTCAACGTGTCTTTTTAAGCACACAGTGTAATATGTAATAATATATAATGGAGGTTTTGGGACCTTTTGAGGAGAATAATGATGTGAGGACTATGTTACAGTCTCACTTTTTGCTCTTTGTAGCTTTGGTCCATAGTTGAAGCACACATGTGTTAGCAGAAGCACTTATTAATCTCTGACATATTTCTGTTTTTGGTTTTAATTAAGCAGAAAATTCTTGTGGGTTTTTAAAATGTTTTTTTTTCAAATGTCAAACATCTGTGAGCTAAATGACAGTTAATTTGATCTAAAATGAAGAACAGCCACATCATTTCTTAAAGTAAGCTGTCTTTGTTTACTCCTGCAGCAGACTGACTGAGTCCACAAAAACAAATAAATGACTTACGTAACGTAGCTTGGTTATCAGTTTGCTTTGTTTTTTACTCAATCTTTGTGGTTTAAGCTCTGTCATGAGACTAAGAGCCTTGTGACATCCAGGACGTAGACTGGACTGAATTGGGAATATATGTGTATATATCACAACACTTTAACTTTCCTATTTATTGAGATGCTACAACCACAAACATCTTGGGTTTTATGTGACAGACCAACATGAATGGAGTGCATTGACTTTCTAACTTCTTTAAAACCTAAATTTTCAGAATTGCTCTAATGAGTAAA